ACTAAATTTTTTTTTTTTTTTTTTTTTTTATAGAGCAGTAGGCAAGCCTTTGTACTCCCTCGGTCTCTAACCAGGGGCACATCCAGAGCTAGTGTGGTGGTGCAGCCACACCCCTCTTTGGCTGTGCCCACATGCGCATGTCCTGCTGGGCACAGGCTCTACCCAGAGTTCCTGCTTTCAAGCAGCTCTGGAGCTTACTGCTCTTTACTCTTCCCCTCCCTCCTTCTCCCATGCTCTCCAGCCAGCAACATGCAGCCCCTGCTTTCAGTCAGTTTTGGAGGCTCCGTGCTGTCACTGTCACAGCTCATCCTGTCTTCTCCTTTCCCTGCTGCTGACTTCAGTAAGGGTGGGGGAAAAAGAGAATGGAGAGAAAGAGCAGCAGTCTCCAGAACTGCTTAAAAAAAGGAACTCTAGACAGCCCACATGTTGGTGAGCTCAGAGATCATAGTATACACAGAGCTCCAGCTGGAGCTGCTCAAAGTTCACTGTCATCCAGGATCACAGCAAGGGACAGCAACCACATCCCTTCCAGCAGTGTGGCATGGGTGAAATGAGCTCTCTTCACTAATGGATCAACCCATGTCTGTAACCAACCAACAACTCTCCCAACTTCTAACTTTTTCAGTTTTCTAAGTTGGAGACTATTTCTATAACTTCTACCACAGTAAGAACAATAAAGAAAAGTACTGAACACTGGATGAGATCCCCATATGACCAGGACTCTCACTCCGCAAGATGCAGAGAACAGTTTTGGACATCCTGCTTACGCAGTTGTGATCTTTAAACTCCCAAATTGTTCAGGTTTTCACTCTGTATGTTCTTGGATAATTTCAAGTTATTATGCTGATAGTTTCAGTACCTTAAAAGTTACATATTAAAGTAGTTGTGGCTACTGTATTTATTAAACCAGTATATTTACATGTCTTTGTACCCATGGTTGTGTATATTACTGAAAATGCCTCTCTCCAATGCATACTTATTTATGCTATTATACATGCCAAACATGCACTAGTTTAAAATGCCATTACATCTCATGCTAAGGTAGACCCATACATCACAACTAGGTTTCCACCTACTCCTTACCGATTAAGATAAGCACCTATTTCCTACTATGGCAAGTATTCTATAGCCAGCTTTCCATATATATTTCATACTAACAGGCTCATACTTTTCCCCATGAATCTTGCCACATAGTTCTCTCTGTATTGCTTACTGAAATACCCAAATATCTCACATATAGGCAGGCTAATCTTAAGCATGACAGAAGATACATACCATGGCAGTTGCACTGGTCACAAAAGTATGAGTACAATGCATCCCAGGCTCTTCCCTTGAGCGTTGCAGTGGTCAATAGAGGTCTACTCTGGCTGTTCAAAATGTTCAGAAAGTTCCCCAACCCAACACATCCTTCCATCCACAAGCCTTCTGCAAAGGCTAAGCAAAACATAGCAAGCAACCATGCTATGAGAAAAACCTCTCATCAGCCTCCGCCTAAGCACTGGACTCTTTCATCTGTCTTTCAGTCTTCCAAATAAACTTCCCACTATTCATTCTGCAGCTAGTGAGGTGATAGTTAAGTAGTTCTTTTCCACTGTCCAAGTCTCCATTAAAATGCTTCAGCAGCCAACTAAGTAGAAACTCCCAGCTGATCAGAATGGCAAATATCATTAACTATTGCTTCAACCTCTGTAGATGTTAACTTTTGTTATGGAAAAGTTAGAAACAAAAGTCTCAGACCTTTCCAGACCATCTTATGCTGATACTGGAGAACCACCAGTGATCGACTATAGAGAACCATAGAGAAATATAGCTTTTTGCTAATTAACTCTGAGCCCTGATGAAAGGAAAATAGGCATGTACCATGAATCACTGACCCCCGTAAAACTGAGTCCCCAGCCTACAGGCCTAAAAATAACCTTCTGTGCATTGCCTAGTTTTATGGCAAAGGTAAAAGATCACATCCATGACATCTCCCTCCATAAATTATTTGCCAACCCCAAAATAATCATTTACTTACTGGCAGCAGTTGGAGTAATAACTAAAATGTTTCTAGTCTACACTTTAGATTTCAGCTGCTATAAAACTGTGTTAGTCAGTCACGAAAAGAAAAGTGAGTTCCCAGACCAATGGCTGAACCAACAGAAGCCCCTAATGCTCATACAGCTATGCCTGTGGAAATGCACTGTTTTGGTATAGGTTGTTTCGCTTGTGAGGTGTGGCTTTTACTATACCAGCATGAAGCCCAACTTTGCCAATATATTCTATACTCATGCTAGAAGTACTTTCATAGCATAATGCATCGTATTCACCTACTGGTCAAGTACTCATAGTTTAGACATAGCTATAATCTTGTATACTGTATAGACCAGGGGCAGGCAATTATTTCGGGTGGAGGGCCGCATACTAAGTTCTGGGGAGCCATCGAGGGCCACATGACAGGCAGCCAGGGGCAGATAAATATTAATTTTCTAAATTTTTTAGGGGCCCCATGGGCCGGATAGAATGGGCTAGCAGGCTGCATCTGGCCCCTGGGCCGCATTTTTCCCACCCCTGGTATAGAGGCTGAGCAGAGGAGTTAGCAACTGGAGAACAAAAGGGGCTTTGTGCCTCCATGTTCTTCTGTATTAAAAAACCGGTTTAGCATAATGGTTACAAAGATTCAAATCCAGTTTTCTAAATCAAAAAGGGAACTGTGCTGACCTGCCATTATAAAAAGAAAAAAGCCTGCTGGATTGTCATAACCACAGTAGTAACTTGACTTTCTACAGGGAAACTAACTGAGAAATCAAAATTATATTTTAATATGATGTATTTTACTGTAAATATCTGCTCTCCATCCTCATACAAATAACAACGCAAGATGATTTCAGTTTTAGGTACTGAAAAAAGCATGTAAGAAAACAGAAATAAAAATGTATAGGCTACCCCACTGCTATTCTCTGTAGTTATATTTTACCTGGCTTTTTCCATGGGTCAGGTAGCCAGGTCTGCACGAGGTCCAATCTCCTTGAGGTATCATTAAAATCCGGTTTTTGTATTATTTCAACCTCATAAATGAGTTTCTAAAGTTAAGAAAAAGCTCATTAAAAATACAAACACAAATAAAATTAATAGGCACTGCATACATCCCAACAGAAACCCAAACCATACAGAAAAACCTCTGCAAAAACTATGCATTTCCCTTATTATATTGAACAGCTGACTCTAGCTATAAAGACAAAATCCACAAATTTGGAATAATTTATGCTAAGTGTCTTTGAAGGTTATGGCATCCTTTGAAGATAAATGCAGAGACACTTAACATTGCCTGGTATATGGCTACATGGTATGGAGATGTTATGTGATATAGACAACTCAGACTCATTAGCTACTTTATACAAAATTCACATCATTTCCTGCAAGCAGAGAGACCACATCAGTAATTCTTCATACAAAAAAGAAATATGAACCTTAAAGAGATTCCAGTGCTCTATGAAGAAATGCAAGAAATACATCTATTTAGTACAGTTTGGCATATGTTCACATCCGACTGTGAGTTTTTTCCCCCTATTCTGTTTTTCTTTTCTTTTTTAAATACTAAAGCATCTAAGAGGTCATTTACTCACAATGATTATTTCTCATCCGAAGTCAAGAAGAGTAGTAGGGGCTTCTGTTTGGCAGAGGTATTCAGCATCAAGGACCTGATCGCAAGGGCAGTTGAAGGTACTCTGCAATATCAGGTTGCTGGGGTGGTCTTATTCTAAGGAGAAGCCTATCAGGACTTGGAAGCTGGAGAAATGAGGAAAGTCAGTTTGTCACTGGATGTCATGAAAGGGCTTCTACAGCAAGAAACGTGTAAAGAGCAGAGGAGTTAGCAACTGGAAGTGTAAAGAACAGGTAGCTATTGGGTTCTCATTGAGTACAATAGATTTAGGAGGGTTACTAGCTGGAGCGTTGGCTTCGGACACTGGTAGGGTGGCTGTACACTTCTTACATAACAAACTCCAACCAACACTGCACCTTCAAAGACTACCACCTATTAAAAACCATCTTTTTTTTAAACTGGGACAAGGCTTGTATTTAATTAGGTAAAACTCAGACCTGGTCTGTTTCCTGAGGACAGAGAAGCATTCCCAGTGTGTTTTAGTGAGAAATTTGAGCAGCACGTATATTTAGAAACAACTCAATTCATTGGTATGCATCAGACTGGCTGATCTATTTGTTTGTTTGTTTTCTGGTCTCCATATTATTAATTATGATGATAATGATGATAATGACCCTCTAAATACAAAAAAGCTGTCCTGTGCCTTAATAGCTCTTTTACCGATTCTCATTTCCCAACTGAAGTCATAATAAGAGCCACATGCTACTGTTTGGAGGAGAGAAGGTTCCTCTCACTGAGAATTTGATGGCCATGTAAGCTCACACCCAGGTTAAAACAGCTGAAGCATTCTCTCAGTCAACTACAGCAGCTGCTGTGACAGGTCAAGAGAATATGTCACAGACATATTGAGCCTAACCCACTGATAGGTCAGGGCCATAAACAGGATGGAGCACTTGGGAAGCCAATCTGGAGCACCAAGTCCAGGCATGATGCCATCAGGAAAGTATATATTTAATTAAAACATCCATTTAGAAAGATTAGTACTGTCAGTCAATTTTCACTTTGTGTTTTATTGTGTGCATATATGTGGAGGGTGTATAATAATTCTGTTCTGTTTTAGGATATATTTAGTAAAGTATTTATAAAGTACAGCTTCTTCAGTTTTTTTTTTAAATGAAATGCATTTCCTTGTGCAAAGGAGAGCAAATTACTACTTAAACTTTCTTCTATTGTCTATTTGCCTGTAATTTCCACCTCATTTACAGCCTTTGTGTGTCTGCCCTTTTATTTAGTTTTACCTTTGACATTCTCTTAATTTCTTTTCAGAGATACCTGACACCTTTACATTAAACCCACAATACATATAATGCAGGAGTTTTTGATAGAATAGCTGTGAAACACTAATAGCTCTGAAGTACGGCTGAAAAAGAGGATGTCTGCCAGGAGCTACATTCATGAAAATCATTTCGCAACTACATGGCCAAGGTCTTTCTTAATGGCAGGCCATGTTGGCAAGTGGTTAGAACCTACTGATCTTTGGGGTGTCTCTGCAGCTGTCATCTTCTCATTGTGCAACCCTGGACAATGCAAGGCCTTGGGCAATATTTAACCTTCCTTTGTTCTAACTCACCCAAAAAGGGGATAAAAAGTGCTTACCATATTAAAAGGACACACAGAATAGGGCTTGATTGGCATGACAGGTCAAGAACCCCTTCATGTGAGGTATATTAGGATCTCATCTAACAAGAAAATGTAGATCAGGTACCTGATGTGCCCCAGTAGCTGTGTTCCTAGACTCTCCTGTCTGGTTGAGACTTTTTGTTTTCAACTGAGAGCTTTCCTCCCTTGTAGCCTGTTTAACTCTGCAGAAAAGCTGCTGGTCTGTTTGAGCCACGTGAATACTTGGACCTGGATTTGCTGCTTGCATGCTGGATTTGGTGCTAAAATAAAAGGCAGGAAACTGCCATGCTCCAGTATGTGCTATCAGTTGCTCACCGAGCCCCATCAGGAGAGTACATCAAGGGCTCAGTGAACAACTGTTCACCAGAGCACCCTTGGGGAAAACCAGGAGTAATAGCCACAAACTCCTGAAAGACTGTTTCAGGCTTAACACTACTTTGCAGTCAGGGTGTCCAAGCTGTGGAATAAGCTCCCTCCAGAGGTGGCGCAATCACCTACCCTGGAAATCTTCAAGAGGAGACTGGACAGTCACCTGACCCCAACTGTCTTTCCTGCTTGGTGCAGGGGGGCTGGACCCAATGATCTTCCAAGGTCCCTTCCAGCCCCTTCCAGTCTATGAATCTATGGTTCCATTATCTAGTACTCTTTGATAGCCCTTCAATGGAAAGAATCAGTGTTTCCAGAGGAGGAACACAGATCACACTTCCAATGGCTTGCTAAATTATAACAAAAGTTATAACAGCAAACTTTTGTCCCAATTATTGATGCGGTGGCCCTGACAGTCTCTTCTCCACCTTAGCCTTTATCACAATGTGTAACGTGGGACACGTGGAGAAAGAAGTTGAAATGGTAAAACAAGCCAGTGGTGATAATTTCATTCTGATTCCAAGGGTTGGCATTTGCATTTATTTTTAAACCTGATGATGTGGCTGTGCAGGAAACCAAGGAAGAGTGTTTTTTGCCTCAACAAGAGTACCACTGAACTCTAAATCAGCAGATTGCTGTGAATAACACAGTCTGGTAATTCAAGATGTTTCTGTGCTGTGGCTGACCTGAGTGCTCTGGTTGTGAGGAAACATTATACTACTTTGTGGATAAAACTGGACAAACAAAACTTGGGCACTTTAATATTTACCGAAAGGGTTAACCTAGTCAAATATTAATCTACTTCTAAATGTATTTTAGTATTATGAAATAATTTCTTCCACTGTCTGCTCACCTCGGTCTGAAAACCCCTTCTCTGACCCAGTCAGACATCTCAGCCTCATTCATGTCCTTCTTTATGGGAAGTATTTTCCTCCTCAGGACACTCCAGCCCTCCATTTTTGGTCACTTTTAATCGCCACTCAGGTATCTGTTAACACTGTCTAACTAGAAGAAAAACCTCTCAAGGTAGGGACTATGACCAATGAAAAATAGGTCTTAGACACCCAAGATGGATGCATTTCAGGTTCAACACTTCAGCCTGAGATGGTTCAAACCCATACTTCTGCCCTTCAGGACAGTGTCTTAAAGTTAGGACAGAGCCACCCCCAACTGTCCTCCTGAAGCTGGGCTGGCCCAGGGGCGGGCAATTATTTTGGGCAGAGGGATACTTACCGAGTTTTGGCAAGCCACCGAGGGCCACATGGGTAGCCCTGCCCCTTGACAAATGCCCTGCCCCCCGTTGCCATCTTGGGACCAGAAGTCCCATCCCCTACCCCCCAACTTTTGTCACCAGAAGTCCCTCCCCTTGCCCCTAGAAATACTCCTTTCAGCAAGGGGGTTTGCCACCTCAGCACCAGAAAAATACCAAATTATATTCTAAAAATTAAACATCTACAACACTCATTTATTTTATTAAAAATATATATTTTGTCCTAATTTACATGCGTTTGTGTAGCGCACAGAGGTAATAACTTAAAATGAAGTCTTACTCTGGTAAACTGTGGGGGGGGTTAGGTTTGTGGGGGGGTTGTGGGTATGTGGGTGGGGGTTTTGTAGGGGGTGGATAGGTGTGTGAGATGTTTTGTAGCAGGGTGGATAGGTGTGTGGGATGTGGGGTTAGGGAGCCTGTGGGTGTGCGTAGGTATGGGGTTTGTGGAGGGTGGGTGGCTGAGGTGTGTGAGTGTAGGGGTCTGTGTGTATGGCAGTGCAAAGGGGGGTGTGGGTGCATGTGTATGGTGGGGTGTGCTTGTGGGACTCACCCTATGAACTCACTCACTCGAGACACACCCTCCCGCTCCTGGCCCTGAGATACCAGTGTGGGCCCCGTTCCTCAGCGATGAGCCGGGGGCCACATGGTGCTGTAGCAGGCGCACAGGGAAGCAATGAAAGCAGCAGCAGGCAAAGGCTTCTGGTTGGAGGGGGGGTAGG